TCAAAATTGTTTTATGGGGAAGACAAAGAATATAAGTTAACCATCCATTACATAGAATGTTAATTTATAGTTGTTACTATATATTTCTCAGATAAAACAATCCTATTATATAGTAGAAATTATTCAGATTTCATTTATCAATAAGAAAGCAACATGTATGTAGTAATTAATACAAGTTGCACATCAGTAATGCTTCCATTATTCTTCTGTAATACATGTGTGTTACAGGCCCTTTTATTAGTTTAAATTTTAAAGTTATATTCAGAGAATTAAAAAGTTTACTTAAGGCTATGCTGTCAATGAAAGGAAAAAAATCATTATTAACTTACAATTCTCTGCTTTGTTCTAGCAGTTTCTACCCTTAAGAATACAGAGCTAATAGACAACAGGAAACGTATAAGAAATGTTACTATTGACAATACCACTAATCGAAAAAAAAATGAATATTTACTGTGTTCAAGACACTTTGAGGGGTATAAAAGAGGAGTAAAATATAAGAGTTACAATTTGAAAGGACAAAAATATTGTACAATTTTTCTTTCCTTTTTTGTGGTTGGTGAGAATTCTCTCCTCTTACTGAGAATTAACATTATATAAAAAGCAAAATGTCAAAATTGAATGCTCTGTTTTATAACATAAATGTCCCCCAATTTCCATTGTTGCATTCAAATTCAATGGCTAACACAACTAAGTCTCACTTTTTCTCTTCCATCATCCACTACACCCAATCTGAAGTTTCCAGAAAGTAACACTCAATTCACGGGAGAACTGCCTTTTAGAACAGTCCCTGACAGATTATCTCAGCTCTGCCACTTAAAAGCTAGAAAATCTTGGTCTGTTAACTGAATTTTTTTTTCCCTCACTCAGTTTCCCTGGCTACAAATGGTACGTACATAATAAAACTTAAAATATGTTATGATTAAATGGTGCAGAATATAAATCACCAAACATAATGTAGCACATAAAAATGTGGAATCATGCTCTGTCCTAAGAGGCAGCAAAAGTAACAACCTCTCCAAAATAATCCTCTCATTATTTTGCAGTTGAGTCAAAAATATCTGTTACTTTATTCACCCCTGTGATATAAGTAGGAGATTAAACTATTAAACATATATATATATATCACATGTTAATCTATATATGAAATAATATATCTAATACATATAATAGTATATCAGGGTATCTATCTATGTGATTGGTCATAGTGGGGCATTAATTATTGACAGTAATAAAAATAAACAATTAAAAGTAATTAAAAGAAACAAAGTACTGTTACATGAAACAACATGAGTGAACTCCAGAAATATGGTGATTGAAAGAAGCCAGATAAATACATAAAAAAGCTCATAACATATGATTCCATTTTTATGAAAATCTAGAATAACTAAGATGGCACAAGAGAACTTTCTGGGGTAATGAAATGTTCTCTCTTCAAAATGATATGGATTACACTAATGCTTGCATTGTTTAAAATTGATTTAAAGGAAAATATAAGATCTTAGCATTCCGTTGTATGTAAATTATATTTCAATTTATAAAAGAGTATCTAAATGTTACTATGAGTTTTTAGCATAAATAAAACAATCAGATATTGGCTTCAGCAATGTCTTTGGAGGCTGTGCTCCTATGGGCAAGGGAAACAAAAGCAAGAGTAAACATCAAACCAAAAAGTTTCTTCACAGAAAAAGAACTATCATTAAAATAAAAGATACACTTCCAAATGGGAGAAAATATCTGCTCATCATAATCCTACAAGTGGCTAATATACAAGATTTACAAAGAACTCAGACAACTCAACAGAAGAAAACCCAGTCAAAACATGGGCTGAAAAGCTAAATAGTCACTTCTTCAAAGAAGATATAAGATGATGGCCAACAAGCACATGAAAAAATGCTCATTACCACATATCATCAGGGAATATAAATTAAAACCACAATGAAATACAACCTCACAGTCTCATAATGGCCCCTATCAAAAAGATCAGAAACTACAAGTGTTGGTGAGGACTACAGAAAAAAGAACCTTCATACAAGTCATTCCCTATGGAAAATTAAAAGGAGGCTTCCCAAAATATTACAACCAGCAATTTCACTCCTAGATATATCTAAATAATTAAAAATCCCACATTTGAAGGGCTGTATGCTCTCCTATGTTCATTACAGTACTACTTAAAATAACAAAATCATAGAAACAATTTGCCCAAGGACAGAGGTGTGGATTAACATATGGTATATATACACAGTGGACTCCTATGCAGCTATAAAAACAATGAGCTCTTGTCGATGCCAGACAATGTGAATAGAACTGGAGAGTATGCTAAGTGAAATAAGTCAGAAGAAGAAGGACAAATACTGAATGGTGTCACTTACATGTGGAATATGGAGAAAAACATGGAATATGGAGAAAAAAAAAAAAACCAAAAGATCAGATAAAATCAAAACAGTACTAAAGCCTAGATATAGGACTATAGAATGGAGACAACCAGAAAGGGAGGTGGAAGGTGGAGAACAAAAGTGTGGAGGGAATTGATGGACTATTAATGGAGGATTGTGAGTTCCTCTGTTGTGTGTATAGTGTGTGATGTATATGGTGTGTGATGTATGTATTGTGATAATCTGAAGCGGTGTGAACCTTTCATTCATGGTTAAAACCAATGTTATCTCAAAAAATATAATGCAAAAAAATAAAGACCATTAATGACATCCTCTTCTCAAACAACATAGTGGGTTTAAAACAGTTCTTATGTGTAGTTTATAGATACATATTGAAATATGTACAGATAAAAGAATATATAATTCTTGGAATTTAATAAAAATATAGTAGTGATAAAAATCGGGAATGTACAGGCATATAGATGAAATATAATTAATTTTTCATTGAAAAATGGTGAAGGGCCTCCCTGGTGGTACAGGAGTTTAAGCACTGCACTATGAAGCAATCTGCAGCCTCTGCAGCATGAGTTCCATGCTGGGCCGGCAAGGGAGATACCCACACCGCGCAGCAGACCTCTCCTGTCTCTCCCGCTGCTCCCCTCAGCAGTGTATTTCCATCAATCTGCCTGTTCTGTTCCCCACTCTGTCTCTGATGGATCCCCTCAGCCCCCTGCATCTCTGGCCTATACCCCAGCACTTAGACGCATAAATAAATAAATATTAAAAAAAAGAAAAATGGTGAAATCTTTTTTCTCATGACGTTTGTATACATTTGAATATTTTCTGTAATGAAAAGATGAAAATAAGAGTTTTTTTTTTCCCAATAGAAAACTAGACATAATTTGTTCAAGGTCTCAAAGCCAGACAGCAAACCAGTTCCCAAGTTTAGTCTTTTCTGATTCCAAGTAAATAAAATAAAGGCTGTTGGAAGTCTGCTTTCAAGAAGAGCAGACCTGAAGTGTAAAGGTTTGTTTAAACACACACACACACACACACACACACACACACACGCACACACACACACTTGCTCCTTGTTTATAATGGTTGCTTTTTGTTAAATTGAATTTCATTTAAGTTTCAGAACCAAAAGTGAGGGTGGGAGATCACTAAAAACATTTTTTTTTCTTACAAAAAGTGGAAACAAAGCAAAGCTAAAAAGCATACAGCAAAGACTTGTTTTTTTCCCCCTCCAGAGCTATAACAATCCTCCTAACCCAGGCAAAGAAAGCAAAGGCATTCTGTTAGAGGGAGGAGCTTGTTTCTCCATTTCAGTGTGATCCTGGAACAGCTGTTTTCCCTCCAGCTCTGAAAGAAGTGAAAATGTTAAGTAATGCAAAAATTGTCTTGAAGGCTGTGATCCTGCCTATCCGTGTGTCTGTGAAAGCCATGGGGTGGGGTGTCAGCTCAGAGGGTAACGTAAATCAGAAGTCAGAAAGGTGAGTGGTGTTTAGAATGTACCTATCAGAGTTGCTAAAGAACAAATTGGATATGATGGTTCAGGAGCACAAAGTACGTTGGAATTGTCTCTTCTACCCAGGCTATTGAGTCTAGAAAGTAAATTCCATTTCGTGATCAAAAAAGCCTTATTACAGCTGGTTTAGACGGCTGGGGAATATTTATTTCTTGCTTGCAGATCTGAAAACTGGCGTCTGGCAGCCGCTGATTGGTGGAAAAGAAAATGGTGATAGTGGGGTGGGAAGAGGATTTGACCAGCCTCCTCCAGCCTCCTTAACCTGTAACTCTTATTTACTGGTCTCCTCTCCTCGCGCGGAACCTTTTAGGCTCATCCAAGGTTAGGAGCAAAGGAAAATCTGGTTGCTGTTTGAACAAAAGCTCCCTCAACATTGTGTCCTACGACCATAAATCACATTTCAGTGATCCGCGGAAAAACGTGCTCTCAGGGTCCCAGGGAGCCCCCTTCTGAGCCACCGCTCTCTTTCAGCGGCTCCTAAAGAGATCGGCTCTATCTTGGGCGGCCGATTCCCTTGGATCCCCAGTTTCTAGGTTGGCCTTGGCATGGGGGGCCCTGCGAAAAACCAGAGGGTACGGCAGAGACTGCGAGGCTGGGGGATGGGAAAGAGGAAGAGACATCAATCGGCCCCATCCTAACCACTCCCGATGGCCACAACAGCCCCTTCGCCCAGAACTTGAGGGCGAAGTGCAGAACACCTCCACCTCCCCGCCTCCGGGACCAGGCGGGGGGCAGGAAATAGCGGGTACAGCCTCCCCCTCCCCCAAGCGCATCCAAGAAGAGGAGTGAAGTGCACGCGGCGGGGAGAGCCGCGCGCGCCAGGAGAGGGGCGGGGAGAGGCGCTGACAAATCAGCTGCGGGGGTGGCCCGGGGGGAGCAGGCGGGGAAGAGCAGGAGGAGGAAGACCACGGAGGCGAGAAGGGCACCCGGCGAGGGGCGAACGACCAGGTGCGGCGGCGCGGGTTAAGGTGTGTGCGGGCTCTACCCCCCCGGGGCTGTCGCGCCTTTGGCATCCTTTGCCGTCTCTCCCTTCTCTTCCGAAGCTCTGTCTCTTTTTCTCGCATCTTCTTGTGAGGGGGACGGGGAGCGGCAATTCTACCACAGGTTCGTGGGTTTGCCTCCCACGCCCCCAGCTTCCCCTCGCCGCGCTGTGCTGACGGCAGCCCCCTCGGGGTACTATCCTCTCCCGGTGTCGCCTCCGCCCTTCCTGTGCGCTCCTGCCATTCCTCTTACCATTTGGAATATTTGGGAATTGTTTCAAAAAAAAAAAAAAAAATCTAAAGGGGGAGAAGGGATCGGAGTTCTGGAGACACAGGGGAACTCGGTAAGTACCTGCGGATCCCAATGTGCGGCTTTGGAAATCCTGGAGAAAACCTGGTCGGAGAGGGGTCGTGGACACCTGGGAGGGGGTGACGCTGCAGGGAGGACCCGGTGTCCAGTCTCTCGGAGGTGGTTACTTACTCCCGCGGAGAGCTTGAGTTAAGTAAGTTGTCCTTGCTTTTCCCTGCTTCCGACAATGCCCTCTTCTCTTCCCTAAGGCCAAGCGGCCAGATTGCTTCTCGGATACGCTTCTCCTTTGGGAAACGCGAGGGTGCTCCGTGGAGCGTGAACATCCAACTTTTATTACTCTCTCACCTTAAATTTCCCCCAGTCGGCCCTCTCGGTTTTCTCTGCAAAGTAAGCAGACTGCGTTTGGCAAGTAATTAAGTGGAAGTGCGGAGAGGGCAAGTCAACAGGTGGGAAGGGGTTAACAGGTGCGGCGCGAGAGCCCGGAGCGCGTCTGCTCCCCGGGAGAACGCCCCCTTGGGGCGACCTCGAGTCTGCAGACAGCACGCGGAGAGTGGGAACCCGGGCCTGCTGGGGCAGATAGCTGAAGGCTGAGGTAGATTGGGAGGTGCGAATGAGGGTGGGCTTGCCTACAGCAAGCCTTACAGTTCAGTCACACCCGGAGAGAGCAGCTCTCTCTCCTTCTCTCTCATAGAGCAACCTGTTAGCTCTCCTCTGGGATTCCTATGCAAGAGTGCCCCTGACCCCAGGCCTCCAGCTCCTTTCTTTTCTTGTGATCTTTCTTCTAAAGTAAGCTGTCACCATTTGGACCCTGGGAAGTTAAAAGAGGAGGTCCATCTTTCATGTAACTCCACTTCTTAATGTGATAAGAACAGCTCAGCTAATTCGTCCGAATCCATGTGTAGGAGGCTGGGCTTTACTGGTCAGGGTGATGGAGAATGCTAAGTTTTTAATGCAAAAGCTGAGCAAAAGTCTGCTTTGTTCAGTGGTTGCAATGAGGGTATACTTAAAAGAACCTCACGCTTTGGGGGGGGTTCTACTGATCTTTCAGTCGTTTTAACTTAGGTGTTACTAATTTTGTTTTACCTCTGAGTTCTCATTCAAAGTATTTTGTGCTCTCCAGTGTGCTGTAAAGGAGTTCATTAGCCATGGATGTATTCATGAAAGGACTTTCCAAGGCTAAGGAGGGAGTCGTGGCTGCTGCTGAAAAAACCAAACAGGGTGTGGCAGAAGCAGCAGGAAAGACAAAAGAGGGTGTTCTCTATGTAGGTAGGTAAACCCCCAAATGTCATTTTGATATTTATATATGACTTACTGGTTAGGATGATTGATACTCTAAATGCTGGCATTTCTCACTTGATTCAATTTTACATCATCACTTGCCATGAGGATGGACTGAGTCAGAGGCTTGTGTGTGTAGGTGAATGTGTATGTTTGAGCTAATAGTAAAAGTGGAACTAATCTTTTGCTTTTTCAGATTATTTAATTTTGCAAAAATGCTAAAGACATTTTGTTCTTTTAGAAATAAAAATTTCTGTGCATAAGTGACTATTTCAGAGAACAATTTTTAAAAGTTTCAAGGATGAACAAGGATATTTTTAAGGATCAAATCATTCATGGTCCTTTGGCTTCTTTTATTATATAGAATAACAGTTGCTAGCTTTTTTATATGCTGATTTAAAATAAGACTTGGCTATTACCCTGGAATAGAAGTAAAAATAGGCCTTCTCTAGCTCTAAAAGGAAAAGGACAGAAAAACCTTTTGTGAAGTTATCTTATTGTGACTACTTGGTAAGCTGTGGTGAGCTCTCAGGAAAGTATTTGAATACTCATACGAACATCTCAAAGACATTTATATAGTTCATTCATCAAATGGTCCACATAATAAGACTATTGATAGTTTTCACTTCTGCTTGTTCCTAAATTCCCACCTTGGAGTATTCATCCTACCTCTGACTCTTTTACCTTAACTTGTGCGGTTTGTTTGGGTATTATTTTACAAACTGCCTCAAATTCTTTTTGGGGGAGGAACAGGTGCATGCTCATCCACAGGGACATACAAATGCATGTACACCTACCCATCCCTGCCCACTCTGCCGCTCCCCTTTTCCTCTGCTGCTTGGAGTTCTTCCACTTTTGCTGGTGCCTCCACAAGATGGGCAGCAAAGTGAAGGATGACAAAGTAGGTGACAAAGACTATGCTTTTGTGTTGGGGGCCGGGGGAGTGAAAGAAAGCTACACTACTGTCTCTCCAACACAGATAAGCTGGGGAAGTGTATTATTTGGAATGATTTTTATGAATGCTTCTCATCAAAGTTTACATCATATATACGTGTATATTTTTCTTATTCTTCATAGACTTAAGTTACCACAGAGATCTTTCCACAAATCTTCAGCTCAATTACTCTTTATCCTAAAACACATTTGTAGAAAATCTAGAATTAAGAGTGTTACAAGAGGGGAAAAAAATGATGTGTTTGATATTGACCTTTGATATTTCAAAGGTCTTTTTTGTGAATTATATCTTTTGAGATGGAATTTGGAATACTGAATCAGTGACATGCAGATATTGTCTCTTTATGTTTGTCCTCAGTTTTCCAAATTTTGCAAGTGTGTACTTGAAGTGACTCTTCAAGCAAAATCAAACAAAATGATTTCATTTTTCAGAAATTATGTTATTGCTCTAAGATTGTATAAAATGGTAATTTGTTTACAGGCCACATTAAAAATGTATCTTCATTGTCTATGATGGTGTTTATCATGAAGTAATTTCTATAAGTTATTTATTGATTATGTTCTGAAGTCTAATTAAAAGTTGAACTCAAAGGAAGAACTTAAGATGAAAAGTGACCATATAAAGACATATTTGTATAGTTCAGGGGCTGTTATCTATAAGTCTCTAAGATACCAGCAAATGTTTTCTATAAAAGGTTAGATAGTAAATGTTTTAGGCCCTATGTCTCTGTCTCCACCACTTAACTCTGTGGTAGTATGATAGTGTCATAGACAATAATTCATGTAACTGTGTTCCAGTAAAAGTTAATTCACAAAAACATGGATGAGATGATTTGACTGATAAACTGTGGCTTAGTGAGTCCTAGTAAAGTAGAAAGAATGTAGATGTGATATCCTCAGACAGATTAGAGTGTGGAGTAGATCATTTATTACCTGTAAGATTCTGGGGAGATAATTTAACACTTCTGAGCAACACTAGTTTATAAAAATATGATTTAGATAATTGCAAATACCTTGCTGTTTATGCGAGAATGCCATAATAAAGTAATACATTGGTATCAAGTACACTTTTTTAAATTGAAGATTGTTTTATGTTTTTAAATTTTTTAAAATATTTATTTATGCTATAAGAGCTGGGGCATAGGCCAGAGGTGTGCGGGGTGAGAGGATTCACCAGAGAAAGAGTGGGAAACAGAACAAGCAGACTGACTGAAATCCACTGCTGAGGGGAACAGCGTGCGAGACAGGAGAGGTCTGCTGTGCCATGTAGGTAGTTCCCTGGCCTTACCCCTTGCGCCACCGGGGAGGCCCGGAGATTTGGTTTAGAAAGACAAATCCTGGTTTCAAAATTGAGGAAGTACAGAGCTTTTAAATGTACTCCTTGCTGCAATACATGCAAACTATTCCCCATTATCTACCCCCCCCCCCGCCACCAGAGTGGTACATCTGTTAAAATCAGTGAACTTACATTGTCAAGTCATATGTCCAAACTCCTTACTTTACATCCGGTCCAATCTTGCTGTTGTACGTTCTCTGAAGTTGGGCGAATCATAACACTTAAGTGTTACAGGGTACTTTCAGTCTCCCCAAAATCCTCTGTAATCCAAGTACTTATCCCCTCAGACCCTAGAAACCACTGAAACTTTTACTATTTCCATAGTTTTGTCTTCCAGAATATCATCTTTGGAATTATATAGTAGTTAATCTCTTTAGATTGGCTCCATTCACTAAGTAATATCATTTAAGGTTTCTCCAAGTTCTTTACATGACTTGACAGTTCATTCTCTTTAGTATTGATGGATATTCCATCATTTGGAGAAACCACCGTATGCTTATGTATTTACCTACTGAATGACACCTTACTTGCTTCTAAGTTATGGTAGTTGTAAATAAAACTAATATAAACATCTGTGTGCAGATTTTTGTGTGGACATAAGATTTCAACTCCTTTGGCTAAATAACAAGGAACATTGCTGGGTTGTATGTAAGAATATGTGTAGATTTTTATTTCATTGAAATAACATTTGTTTAACAGTCTTATGATTCAGAGCTGTCGGTTTATATCATTTCAAATATGTGTTAGCACAGCACAGCCTCGACTGTAGTCCACTGGGCTCCTCCTTGCGGTCTTCTCTCTCGTGCTCTTTCCCATCTAGCAGCCTCAATTCTAGTTATATATTTTTTTAAGATTTATTTATGCATACAAGAATTGGGGTACAGACCAAAGGGGTGAGGGGATTCACCAGAGGCAGAGTGGGGAGCAGAATAGGCAGACTGACTGAAACACACTGCTGAGGGAAGCAACGGGCAAATCAGGAGAGGTCTGCTGCACCATGTGGGTAGCTTCCTGGCCAGTCAGGGGGATTGAACTCATACTGCAGAGGCTGTGGATAGCTTCAAAGTGCTGTGTTTAACCCCTTGCACCACCAGGGTGGCCCCTACAGTTACATTTTTAGGGTTTGTTACTGGTTTTGTTTTGTCTAACCCTTTGTTTTGTTTCCATCATCATTCCAGTATTTGTCTTTCTTCTTCTGACTTGTTTCACTTAGCATTATCAGCTCCATTTCTGTTTATGTTGCTGTGCAATTGGCAAGAGTTCTTTTTTTTTTTTTTTTTTTTAATAGCTGCACAGGAGTCCATTGTGTATACATGCCATATCTTCTTAATCCACTCATCTCTCCTTGGACACTTAGGTTGTTTCTATAATTGGTATTGTAAATAGTACTTCAGTGAATATAAGTGTGTATTTATCCCTTCAAATGAGTGTTTTTTTCAGTTCCTCAGCTAGATGTGTAGGAGTGGAATTACTAGATCATATGGTAGATATATTTTTAATATTTTGAGAAACTTCCTTATTGTTTTCCATAGGACTGGATAAGCCCACATTCCACAGTGTATGAGGGTTCCTTTTCTTCCACATCCTCACCAACACATGTAATCTCTGGTCTTTGTTTTATGAACCATTCTCACAGGGTCAGTGGTATCTCTGTGATTTTGGCTTGCATTTCCCTGATGATAAGTGATAATGAACATTTTTGGCCATCTGTGTATTTGTGTATCTGCTGTGGAGAAGTGTCTATTTCACTCTTTGATCCGCTTTTTGATTGGATTGCTTGTTTTTAGTTTTGAATTGAGATTTTTTTAAATTGTGGATATTAGTCACTTAAGGGGTTTGGATGTGCAGATATATTCTCCCATTTGGATGGGGGTCTTTTCATTTTAAGGATAGTTTCTTTTCCTGTGCAGTAGTTTTATAGTCCCAGTTTGTTTAGATAACATTTGTTTGTTCCAATTGTTTATTTTTGTTTTACCCCCCCTTGATTTGAATCCCTAAAGATATCACTGGAAACACTTTTCTGGAGTATTTTGCTTAAGTTTTCCCCAATATATGTTATGGTTTCAGAACTTAATGTCCATGTCTTTTAATCTATTTAAAATTAATTTTTGTATAATGGCCAAGGTGGTCATCTAGTTTCATCCTTTTGTCTATGGTGTCCAGTTTTCCCAGTACCATTTGTTGAAGAGACTCTCCTTTCTCTATTGTATACTCTTGTGTTCTTTGTCATAGACTAACTATCCATATAAGTTTGGGTTTATTACTGGGCTCTCAATTCTATTCCATTGGTCTGTGTTTGTTTTTCTTCTAGACCTGTACTGTTTTTATCACTATAACATTGTAGTATAGCTTGAAATCTGGGGGTGTGATACTCCCTTTTTTCCTTTTGTTTGTTTTGTCAGGATTGGTTTGGCTATGTGGGTTCCATAAGAATTTCTGTAATGCATGTTCTATTTCTTTGAAGAATGACTTTCTTTAAAGAATGGCCTTGATAGGTATGGTGTTGAATGTTTATATTTCTTTGAATGAAAATTCTTCCAATCCACGAGCAAGATATATCTGTCCATTTGTGTCTTCTATTTCTTTTAACAGTGTCTTGTGCAATAGTTTTCATGTTCCTCTTTGGTGGTCTGCTCTTAGGCATTTAATCCTATTAGATGTGGTGATGGGATTATTTTCTTGATTTCTTTTTCTAATT